GGTGGTGGTGGCGGTGGTGGTGGCAGTGGTGGTGGTAAGAATTATTCAAGTTACTGGAAACATGCCAGTATCTTTTGTTAGTTAAGATAGAAAACCTGGTAATGAATCACTGAAACAACAACAAATACTAATTTCTATCTCATGCACAAATGATATGAAAATAATTCCTCAGGACACAAGAACCTGACTCACCATTGTTACCTTTGTTCTGATCAGGTAGAGAATAACCAAATCCCATCAGATCTGTTTTTTGCTGAATTGAGCTTTTCCATTGTTGATCAGGCAGATCGACAGCCAATTCATGTATGCTGTTGGAATGCAAGATCTGTGTGGTGGCATATGGGGTAGCCTGTGTTATTTGGCTGGAACTGTTGTAAGTGGTTTTGGTAGTGAAGTCAATGCTGCTATAAATGGCTCCATCTGAGAGCATCGTTGCTGTTTTATCCCCTTGGCCTGGAACTGGCGGCAGCACATCTGTGGTGAACATAGGGAAATGAAACAATTTAATGAGGCACCGGAAGCCCAAAACTATCAGGGTTGAAGATGAAAAATAAGTGTGTCACCCTGCACATTTGCATTTCAGCTGAGATGGGCTTCATGAGCCAATGAAGGGTAGATGATGTACAACCATCGCCAAGCTATCAGCCTCAGTGACAGGCAGGCCTGCCGCTCACCCTTCACGTCTCACCGCTTAAAACACCCCTCCCCCCATTTCCTTCAACCATGAATGGGAAGTTTGAGATATTTCACTACTGAAAAATGCTTTCCGTTGCTCACTCTGTTTCAGAACCAATAAAAGTGTTAGCACTTTACAGTAGCAATGATAGTGAATCCACAAATCACAGATGAAAAACATCTCTTTCCACTTTATCCTAAGAGACATAGACTACAACTGCTGAATATAATATGCAAACATTTCCAAAATTATACTATCTTGACTGTGAAGTACATTTTTTGAAGTTTTAACTTGCCACTTACTGATGTGATTTCATTGCTCCGGAAATGGGGAATATATTCTTTTTTCTTGGATAACAAAGGAAAATTTTCATGAATAAGTCATTTTCACAATATAGCAGGATTTCACTACAGAAAAAGCAATCTCAGTGATCGGTGAGTTTTTAATTTGTGCTATCAACTCCAAACTAGAGAATTACAGTTTCGTGTTGTAATACAGCAAGAGTAAAATTAAACTTCAGGAACAACGCTGAATATCAATCAGTCCATTTTCATTTTGGTATGCTGAATTATTTTTACATGATGCTTTATAATTCAGAACTGCCACCTCTCGCCTGAGCTCTTATTTTCCCTTTTTGAAAGAAAGATACTAAGTGAATCTAAAATAGAAATCACTAAATAACACTACTTTTAATCATGTAGAGTTAAAATGAATCTAATTATTATACAGTACATTTTATAATAATCTATATTCTGAAAGCTTCACTTCATGGGACTTGAGGTCATCAAATCACTTCATTTCTTCATTAGAGGACATTTTCAATTATCTTAAAACTTTTAGATTAGCTGATATCCAATAGTACCTGAAATAAAAACTCTTATAGAAATACTACTTTTACTTTCGAATTTTACATATGCTAAAATTGTCTTCTTTAGCAACTGTAGAAAGAAAGGTATAATGTGTTTGTACATGGTATAACTTAAGTCTTTCTGAAGTTTCTGAATTGGAATTATTTTACAATTAAGTGGATATGTACTTAAGATAGTGAAGTATCTTAAATGTATATCAGTGAAATTGTTAAACATATTTAAATTTATAATATTTCACCAGGTTGTATGAGCAAATATCATTATTTTTGAATTTCAGAACTTTGGAACTACTTTCTTGCCCTTCTTTCTTTGAACTATGTACTAATCACAAAATTTGATGTTAACGTGCAGCATTCTCAAGTGTTAACATTATTTTTATTTCTCAAAAATTTTTAATGTGTAGTATATCCAAATTGGTGAAAAAGATCCTTGACTCTGGGTGAGTTTTCAGACTTTTGTTTCTGCCACTTCCACCATGTCTTTCACTGATGAATATTAGCTGAATATCAATGCTTCTCTAACTTCGTTCCAATTTCACACACTTTGAATTCAAAGTTCTCCAAAGCTTTAGATGCGAAGATCAAGCCACTTCAATGGCAAGCTTTTCAAGTGGCTGTGTGCTCAAATAATAAAAAATGAAATAAAATGGTCCAAGAATCTAATCCTACATAATATTGCTATATAACTAATGCTCTGGATATTGAATCTCTCCTCTCCCGGCTACATGAAATTATAGTTAGCCTTTAAGTCTAAGTGCTTCTGTATTGATTTTTAGGCTGCATATTGTCTTCAAATATGATTTGATCATCTCTACATTTTCAAAAAATAAACTGAATTATATTCTAACATTGAAATATTGGAATATTGCACATGAATATTTGGATGTTAAGGAGGGTCCTGTAATATCAGATGATTTGAAACTCTGGGCTGGCCTTCCTCCCCAAAGGCTAGACCTAAATAGGTGATATCATCTTCAGGCAGGGCTTTTTTTCCATTTTCATTTATCACAGTCCTCAGGTAGCAATCCTTAATGTTTTAGGCTGTCTGACTGGTGTGTGTTAACACCTGTGTTTGAAACCTATGAGTTATAAAAACACTTCCTCTACTTGGAATTGGTAATTGATTCTGTAGCTTTTCAGCCCTTTGGTTATACTTATATTCACATTTATTTCCTTTTGTTTTATACAATTATCTGTATGAATGACTGTCTCCTTCACAGTATCATAAAGTCACTTGAAGACAGGAGCATGTGGGCTAGGTCTGCATTTTCATAATTGCTCACCCAGTGTTTTGAAGAGAGTAAGCACTTGCTGACTTGAATGGTTAAATAATATTTTTTATGGTTTGCTTTGATAAAATGTAGATTTGTGCTATAATTAGTAACTATGTTATTACAAATACTATTTTATTACATTCAAACACGTATTTTCATTTCATTCTTAAAGGGAAAGTGTCAGTATCTATCCTTATTTTTCCGAGTGAATATGGTTATGTAGTCATACATGTGAATTTACCTTTATAATACAAAGCAGAGTTTTCTACAACCAGATCTCAAATTATTTATCTTGAGAAACCTTAGTTTCTTGATCCTTAAAATGGAAATATGATTATCTATTTCATACATTACTATGCAGGCAAAATGAATTAAAATACACAAAATATCCTAACAGTATTTCTGGCACATAGTAAATGCTTAAAATGACTATTACATGGATAAGAGATACAGTCAACCCTACAAAAACTTTGTCTTGGCCTTGCTGTTCATCTGTGAAATATTTCACAACATGAAAATGAAGCGAAAATGGAAGAAAAACCTTGCAAATCTCCAAGTATACCTTTTGGTTAAATTTGACTGAGACATTTTAGATGTTAATGTAGCCTGTGGAAACTGAAAAAAAAAATCATTTTCTCCATCTGTAAGCATTGACTTCTTGATATAACAATGGAATGTGATATTATTTCTATAAAATACAAAAGGTAAAAGATACAGCTATTCCTTGATTGATAAAATCCTTGGGGACAGAATTCCTTTTGACAATATCAATCTACATGGCAGAGGGAGGGAGACTCTTGTTTCCTGATGAGGAGGTGCTCAGGTACAGAAACTACCCATGGCAAAGTGAGCCTACAGTTGCTCACAGTCAGGTCACTTAGGGGAGGAAGCCACTATCAGAGTCTCCGGGCAATTAAGAGTCCTAAGTGCGTGTGTTGGCTTACAGAAGCGGAAGAGGAAGCTGAGAAGTCATGTAACTTACTTCTCATTCTCTCACTCTACTGATGCCTAGTAGTCATTGATGGTATGCCAAGCTTTATGCTAAATATACATATATATAGGTTTAGCACAAAGTAATTATATGTGTGTGTGTGTGTGTGCGCGCTAAACTTATATATAAACATATATATATATATATATAGGATTACGATATATGTTTTATATATATATAGTCATCCATTTAATCCTCATTACACACCTATGAGGTAGGAATGGTTATTTTCCATATTTTATTTGCAGAAAGAAAGGGAGTTCCTCTTCTTATAGTTGGTATTGACAGAATACAGACTTATGCAATAATTACTAGCTTCATTATTTGAAATAGAATTTTAAATATAGTCCATTCTTAGAGAAAGTACGAAGAATATTCTTCTCAGTCAACCTGGTTATATACTCATCATGAAATCAACACATCAAGGCTTATGTGGACTCAGAAAAATGTAACACAGCTTTGGGTCTCCTTCATTAATCCTAAAAGTGCAGAAATCTTACAGTGAATTCATCCAGCTTTGCTTGGATCACAGCACTCTTGTAATTAATCACTCCAATTTTCTACTGTTACTCCATTCTTCATCGAGCAGCAGGCTGCATGACTTAAAACAGTACTTGGATCCCAGCATTTTCCTCTTAAAAATCCACCAATGGCTTTTGATTACCTCTCAATAAAGTCTAAACTCTTTATGTGGCTTAAAAAGTTCACTGTTATCCATCCTATATTTCCTACCATTTCTGTGTCCTCGTACTTTACACTCAAGTCATTAGGAAATTCCCCCATTTCTGAAGTAGGTCAATGTCTCTCTTATTTCTGGAACTTAAAATAGAGCAATTTCTTTTCTACACACTTTTTTTTTATTCATACTTTTGACTCATTCTTAAGCTTCCTTCAGGTATCAACTTAAATATTCATCTGTTCATAGAGGCAGTTTCAGTACCTTTAATGTCTGTACAATCTTGCACCAATAGAAAACTCACATGAACTTGCCAAGCCACACTGAGATCAGAGAGTTCTCTCTTCCTCCCATCTTTCTCTAAACCCAGCTCTCTCCTATTTGACTGGATTAAAAGGTGAAGTCAGGGGAAGCTGATAGTTATTTACAGTAGGTTACTTCTGTCTTCTTACAAACCCATAGGGAGAAGACTCAGGCATGAAATTTTCAAAGCTTAAGCATGTTGGGTACTTAGCACCTTTTTGTCTTATTTTCTTTTTTTTGAACGATAGTGATTATGTGTGTGAAAATACAGAAAAGTTATCTCTCAACATGTTGTCATATTAACTTAATTGTCTATTTCTTAAATGACATATTTTATGAGGGCAAGAACCATCTTCTTTATATCAATATTAGATTCTTACAGTCTTCCATAGTGCCAAGTACACAGGAGATGCTCAATAAACACATGTTAAATGAGACAGAGAAAAGAAACCTCTGCTCCAAAACCACAAGGCCTAGTTAGCAAAATAGTTTCTGAGTTCAGCAATCTTGTACTAACAATCTTGGAAGCAAATATTCAACCTGGTTAGTAACGTCTTCCTTAAAAGTTTGGTTTTACTTAAGGTAATGTAGACACAATAGTTTTACATTAAAATATTTGGTAAATGTACAGCACTATTAGTGCATATGCTTCACTAATTTGAATTATGAAAGAAAATCCTCTCTGATATGTCTCTTTAAAAAAATCCAGGAAGGT